TTAAATACTTTTTAGCTCACTTACGCCTGTCACATCCAAAGCTCATCGACTAAGAACCTCCATCAAGAAAAGGACCCTCAATCCAGAGTTCAACGAGGCAAGTGCCTTTCTCAATATTATATGATTTTAATAGACAAGCGAACAAATCAAAAGAGAGCGAGGCAGACTTAAACTTTGAAACGGGGTGAACTGAAACACGTGAAAGAGAAAATCTAGAAACAAAACAATGAACAAAGAACCAAAAACAACAAAAAATCGGGTAGAACCAATATGACAAGAAAAGATTACGAAGAGACTAAGGTTTACTTTGGAAATACTTCTCGGAGACATACTCACTCACCAACTTCGAGTTTCATATCCGTATAGATGCTTTTCGTCACTTCTCCGTGACTTTATACCATTGCTGACGTTCTGTCTTCAAGTTTTGCTGTCAGGAACATTTTTGGGCACAACCCCAACTTACATCCGATGTTGGTGACTTAAAAGTTGAAAAAGCGTAAGATATCTCCAATTCAACCGGTTGCTGCATTCGATGTATACAGTACATTTAGTTCTCACATGAATATTTACAGACACTCACATTCATCGTCCCATTCAAAGATCTGCCTAAGAAGACATTGCAAATCGGTGTGTATGACCATGATTTGGGGAAACACGATGACTATATAGGTAAGTAAACGTCCATAACATAGTTTTTATCCCGAATCTTGTTGCTTCAGGTGGAATCGTCCTATCGGCATCTGCCAAAGACGATCGAGGCAAGCAATGGATCAACTGCATTGAAAATCCTGGCCGGACATTCGAAGTATGGCATTACCTTGAGTTGGATAGCTAGTGTGTCTTCGTCTATCGCCTTCTATTTCAAGTCCTTCCAGTCTTCCATACAATCCCAATCCTCATGGGATTTTTCCTTTATCCATATTCATCTTCTATGCTCATAAGTAGATAAAGATTACATGACTTTGGTTTCCTTTGTACATCAGTCAATTTTGATGTCACATGTTGGCTGCGCTCCTTATAACGTTCACTTCTCGGGTTTCCAATTTATCGTCATCGGCCATGTGGTCATTTTATCTGTGTTAGCGTAGTGATTTTCGTGTAGTGTTTTCTGGCAGTGTTCATATCGCTTTACAAGCTAATTGAGGTTCATATATCATTTGTTTGATCAATAGATGGAATACTGGTGTTTTCTAATACGGCGTTAACATTCCCAAACTATTATCCAATGTAATGCGTATGATATATCTATGGATATCAATAAATATGTCTATACTTAGTCATTCTGCTATCTCATTGCCACAGGCAAACTTCCATTGAACAGTACCACGTTAATTTCTATCAATAGGTACTAGGCAAAGCAGTCAGTAATCTTGTCTGTCAATAATCAATTCGTGACCAGCATGCTCACTTACCTCTGCGTGCCAACTTCCTCGTAGGTGATTGCAGAAAATCGATTGAATCGAAATCGATCAATGACGAATTGCCTGCGATATTCACCCCGCCCTGTCCCCAGTGTATGCGTGCCAAGTCTGATCCACATTTTCAAAGGGATTTTCTATCTGGAACATACAAACATACAGACAGACAGACAGATAGATAGACATATAGACAGAAGAACAGATACTCAGATTTTTTT